AAGCTCATAGGGGCCAATGTGTTGATCAAAAGCGGCCCCTTTATGTGGGGCCAAAACAAACCCGGACGTGAGAGTCGTTTTGGTCTGTGGGGCCATATTGGCAATTGATGGGGCTAAATTGGAAAATGATGGGTCCGTTACGGCAAAGTGTAGGGCCAATTTGGCTTTCCTCCATACCTGAAATGGCTCCGTGGGTGTCGATCCAGCTCTCCAATGCCAAAAATGGCTTTCACATAGGGCCAAAACAGCTTTGGCTCCAAAAGGGCTGAAACGGAATTTGGGGTCGTTTTGGCCCTTTTTAATTTACAGTGTATTAAGTAGCCAAATATTGCACCTAATCCACTTGTTCCACTGTCCAGGTTGTACCACTTTTGATTGCTGAACACCTGGGGCCGGTTGTATAAAAAAGTGATTAAAGTTAACTATAGTTAGCGGAAACGTCATCCAATAAGAAGTGCGTTTTTGAGAGTTAGTCACCATTTAACTACAAAATAGTAATTAAAAAAGTGATTAAGAGTTCAATTTATACAACCGGCCCCTGGGTTACATGAATTTGCTAGCAAAATAGCAGCTGCAATTAATAAACTTGAGGTTATAGATTTAGACTGAAATGTGTTAAGAAACAACGAAAGGTACGTACATATATATTGTTGCGGGTTTTGGCCATTTAGGGGATATTTTTAGTGCTTTCCCGTTGGCGATTTAATACGGAGTTTGGGCTATTTTAGGCGATTTAAGAGAGTTTCGGTTAATTTTAACTCGCGATTTATAATTAATGCGATATAATTTTTGCGATTTAAGGTGAGTTACCATCCCAGAGTAGGCCTTGTAAACTACAAGTTGCTATTTCAATAAATTAACATTTCCCCCTATTTTCATTCCAGATTTGCTCGACGTGCTCTTGGCATAGCTCTGTATACTGCACGCAAAGAATCAAAACGTGTAGGGAAGCGTACAACTGGTTATGATGCTAAAAGGTTCCTAAATGATATAAAGAAAGATCTTGGATATGACAAATTCTCAAGCTTCCTCGCACTTAAAGGTGACGTTACCTTGATGTTCGCACTGGATGTCACAGGCAGTATGCACAACGAAATTAAAGCATCCAAGGAAATCATTAAAGCAATCAGTCAAAATGATCGCAATGAACCCGTCGATTATATATTGACGACTTTTAGTGACCCCATTGGTAGGTTGGATAGTTTGTTTCATTTCGTTTTGGCTTGGTTTGGTTTGGTTTGGTTTGGTTTGGTTTGGTTTGGTTTGGTTTGGTTTGGTTTCGCATCGCTTCCCTTCCCTTCCCTTCCCTTCACCTTCACCTTCGCTTTATTTTGCTGTGCTTTGTTTGCCGCTTTGCTTTGCTTTGCTTTGCTTTGCTTTGCTTTGCTTGGCTTGGCTTGGCTTGGCTTGGCTTGGCTTGGCTTGGCTTGGCTTTGCTTGGCTTTGCTTTGCTTTGCTTTGCTTTGCTTTGCTTTGCTTTGCTTTGCTTTGCTTTAGCCTAGTTCTCATTCATCGCAAACCGTCGGCGATGGGAGCTTTGCGACGTCGGCGACCGCTTGCGATTTATGAGAACACATCAAAAATTATATCGCCGATTATCCGTGATCGTCGCCGACCATCGGCGATGACATCGCAGGAAACAAAAAAGTTTGTTTCTTGCGACCATCGCCGATCATCGCCGACTGCCACCTGCTTGAAAAATCTATAAGAAATGAGTAAAATTGTTTTTTCCTCAACAAGCATAGCCTGCGTGGCAGGCCCTCAAATTTATGTGGGGGGGGGGGGGGTGC